ACTATCAGAATAAGAATGATAGAATATGTTATCGACTATTAACAGCATCTCCACGACCATCAGAATATGAATGGTACAGTATGTTATCGACTATTAACAGCATCTCCACGACCATCAGAATATGAATGGTACAATATGTTATAGAGTATTAACATCATATCCACGACTATCAGAATAAGAATGATAGAGTATGTTATCGACTATTAACAGCATCTCCACGACCATCAGGATTAGAATAGTACAATATGGTATCGACTATTAGAAGCAACTACACGACCATCAGATTAAGAATGGAACAAAATGGTATCGACTATTAGCAGCAACTACACGACGATCAGAATAATGATTGGTACAAAATGTATCGACTATTAACAGCATCTTCACGACCATCAGAATATGAATGGTACAATATGGTATTGACTATTAGCAGCAACTACAAGACCATCAGATTAAGAATGGAACAAAATGGTATCGACTATTAGCAGCAACTACACGACGATCAGAATAATGATTGATACAAAATGTATCGACTATTAACAGTATCTCCACGACCACCAGAATATGAAGGGTACAATATGTTATCGACTATTAGCAGAAAGTACAAGACCATATGAATATGAATGGTACAATATTGTATTGACTATTAGCAGCATCTCCACGACCATCAGAATATGAATGGTACAAAATGGTATCGACTATTAGCAGCAAGTACACGACCATCAGAATATGAAGGGTACAATATGTTATCGACTATTAGCAGAAACTACAAGACCATATGAATATGAATGGTACAATATTGTATTGACTATTAGCAGCATCTCAACGACCATCAAAATAAGAAAATTTTGTTAGACGTTAAAGAGAGTTTATATAAAATTATATATATCGCTGAGAATGGTCCATATTTCATAAACATTTTACATGTAATAGCAAAATGCGCCAGAGAAAAAACAACAAAATTAAGATAAATGTAATACAAGAACAACCATTTTAATATTTTTAACAGAGTAGTTGACCTCTGGAACGGGTAGCCTTCTGTTAATGGTAGATTCAGTTAATTTATAGGAATTTAAAGGGAAAGCTTGATATATATTTGAATGATAAGGGCTAGCTATTAAGTGGCGTTTTTTAAAGGGGTTAGTTAGTTAGTTTGTTGTCAAGCGCAAAACGACATAATGGGGTATATGTGCTGTGCCCATCACGGATATAGAAACCGGATTTTTGCGTTACAAACTTATCGCTGAGCCACTGATGGACTAAGGATTTAGTTTAATTTAGTGAATAGGGCAGCTTAGATGGACCAATGGTGTGTCAGTATCATAGCATTTTCACAAGAAAGTTATTTTTTATTCACTTATATAAGTCATTCATTGAGAAGAGTTTAATCAAACAAAAATGTAGTGTAAAGTAGAAATAAATATATGTATTTATGTGTTAAAGTTTGAAAGACTTGTTGAAAATATCTGAATTTCCACACCGTTAGAGGGCGATTTGTTTGGAAAGGAAGAGTGTTTTTAATTTGATATTGTTCACGTTTTTTTTTTGATAAGTATTGTGTGTGGTGTAAACGAAACATTTTTTTATTAAAATTAAACCAAAAATAAATAAATAAATAAGCCTTGTAAGTAAGATTTTTGTATTAAAACGAATTTTTACTTCTGGTAAATATGTCGTTTTAATGTTTTATTGGCGTTAATTTAGACGAACGTTCATATTAAAACTACTACTACTACTAGTATTATTACTACTTAGTTATTATTACTATATAGTATTACTAGTACTACTGTTACTACTAGTAATATTAATAAATTATTTATTAATATTAGTACTAATAGTAGTGGTAGTAGTGCTGTTACTCCTCCTCCTAATAATAGTACTGGTTAGTTTAGTAATAATATTATGTAGTAATCTAATTTCGTATTATAAATTAGCCTAGAATAATATTTCAGTATTTGGAATTATTAGGTAAATTGATAATCACATTACACATTAACCTTAGCTGGGGAAATATCTCACTCATTGTCTCTTTTGTTTATTTTGGGTGTTGCATTGACATTGTCTTTGGGCATAAATAAAGGCCAAGGCTATTCATGCTGCTAGTAATGTTTTTTTTTTTGTTGTTTTTTTTTGGCTGTTTGCAGGGATAAGATCCAGACTTGAAATAATTTCGAAACTTTCTTGCTCATTAGAAAAGTAAGATGAGGCCATACTAAAATATATTTAGAGGATTTTAGCTTTAATGGACTGCTCCTGCCTGTTTCTTGAATAGAAAGAAGTTTCATCTTCTATACAGAGACCTTCTTCAAGTTGAAAACAACAAAACACATTTTGTTCTACACATTTTGATGGCTTTAAGTTTGAGATTTGTTTTGGGATGGTGGTGGAAATTATGGCCTCAAAAATTTTAATTATCAATATTTACTCATCACATTTATGTTCTCTATAAGCAAATATTTGCCACCATTATTATCTTTTTAGCTTGTCTATCTTTTATATTTTCATAAGCAGAAGAATATTGTGGTCATTGTAACATAAAATTCACAACATTCTGTATGTTTAAATTGAGAAAAATTTGCTTGCTGCTTTGTAGGTTTTGATCAGAATGTATATAGAACAAGTGAAGATATGAAAAATTTTCACTAGACTTGTTGAAGCCTGTGGTTGAAAATATCAAACTTCTGATCAATCAGTGCATAGTTGTTATGTTTGAATTGGTTAATATTGTGGTGCTTTTAAAAATGAAGAACCCTTTCTCACATATTTTGACTGATACAGGAGTATTAACATTTAAAAATCAGCAGCAGAAGTGTAAGATTATCCTCAGAAATTAAGTTGCAGCATATGTTAGAATGCTCAGTGTTGGTTATTTTTGATGTTGGAAATCAACTTACCTCAATCTAATTTCTAAGAAGCCTTTTAGTTAGCATTAGTTTTCCTTAGGCTTAATTAGAAACTTTATCTTTGCCATTTATTAAAATTACCCTCACGGCTCCTCATGATTGTAAAGCAAGGCCCCAAAAAGTCTTGTTCTGTGGACCTTTTGACCAAAACCCAGGAGGTTGTGAGCAAAATTGTAATTTTTCTCTTTTCTCAAAATTCTGAAGCACAAAAATTGTAGACTGGTGTAGAATTTTAAGTTCAAAAGAGTGGCTACGAGAAAACAAAAGCTGTCGTTTCTGTTTCTTCCAAGTGTAACATAATGTACAAAACTTGTAAAGTCCTTCAAGTTAATTCTTCAAATTATGAAGCCAATTTTATTTTAAGGTCACTTATTCAAAAATTGTAATTTCAAACATTAAATCATGTTCTGTTTACTATACACAACTATTACTAGCACAATAGTAGCCCAACGCCTGGCAACATTAAAGTTCACATGTATTATGAATGTAGATGACTGAAGCAAACTTAACATACAGTGGACATAGTTTTCAGGTTATGTGAGAACATGCTGTTGTCTCATAGTGTAGGTTAATTATATATTAATAATAATAAACATTTATTATTTATTTCACCATTTCTGACTATTGTAAGATGACACGTTTGGTTATAAGATATTTATTTTCGCTGCTACAACTTTTATAAAGTTTAGTGCGATATTCTGTTCAGGCCTATCACATATAATTAACTTATTTCCTATACCTTGAAGGTGTGCACTCTCATCTAAAGTCAATGAAATTTATTAATTGGTAAGTTCCAAAAGTTCTGTGTGATTGTCTGTATGTATATATTCTATGGTGCAATTGGTCAATTTCCACTTGTAAGGTTATGACCTTGGTATTTTCTCTATACACTCTGCCTTAGGACTTTTTCTGGATGAGCTCAAATCCAGTGACGGTCTGTACCATAATTGAAAGAATATACATAGCAATTTTGAGAAGAAAAAAAAAAATATATATAGATATATATCAGTAAAATTTTATATTTACAAAAATGACTCGGTAGTGTTCAAGTACTGTAAATAATGTACAAATTTCACAATGACGTGGCAAGCTTAACTGTACTCAACAATGCCCAACATTACTTGATTGTTTCTGTGGGATATCAACATTTAGGGCCTAATCTTTAACTTCTGGAGACATTCTCATATCTCTTGGTCTATATAAATTCTTGCTTGTAAATAATTACATTTAGAAAGAACTTGTATAAAGTAATGAAATTAGGATGTAAATGTACAACATGGTATTAATCGTTAACCCTAGAATTACCGATAAGATTGTTACTGTTGGTTATTAGGTCCCTCGTAACTTTTGAGTCACACACAAACAATTTTAGACATTACATATAATCTAAAGAGTATAAGAGACCTTTGGTCCATCTAGGCCACCTCAACAACTAAATTAATCATTAAAAATAAAAAATAGCCAGACTTTATCATTCAAATATTTATCAAATGTATCAATATCAAAATTTTGCATTTACAAAAATGGCTCACATGCGATCAAGTGCTGTAAATAATTACATTATTTCTTACATTAGTTAATATAATATTGCTGTTAATTCCGCTAACTACTGCTGGGATCTCCTATATACTTTACATAGAAAATGAGGGATTTTGTCAAATTGTTTTTGGTCAGTTCTCTAAGCTGAGTGTTGTAACAGGCATATATGGATCCAATCAGTAGTGAATAGTATAAAACAAGTCTGTAATTCAAAGATTCAGTAAAATATTTGTGTATGTTAATGTGTTGTCACAATATGAAGTATTTCCCAGTATTAACATTTAAAATGTTACTCAGTAACAAAAAAAAATCTATTTGTAAAACTTCCTTAATTTTATATAATTTTAACACTTTCAAACTTGACTAATTGAACCACTAATTATGATGCATTACAATTTTTTATAGGTACTTTCCTTATTTGGAATGTTTCTAGTTATCAGAGATAAATTTATGCTAAGATTGTTAGTGTTGCTTACAAGGATAGAATCTTAAATTTCACAAAAATAATGATTTTTCACACTAATATTCATAGCTTTTGCATTTATGAATTGAGTTAATAGAATTGTTAAACAATAATTGTTTACCAGTCTCCAAGAAAATCTCCAATACCTGAAAATAAAAACAAAAGGAGTACTTACAGCATCTAGTGGTTTGTAAAGTGTTGAAATCTGGAGTTTTTGTTTATTTCTTATTGAAAAAGTATATTCACGTTTCTTTACCCCAGATTCCGTTTGGTATACTCTAAGTCCTTATATTAATTCAATAAAAAATTTACATCTAAATCAGCATTTTTTACATCCATGTCAGTAAATTTACATTAGTTTACATTTTTAACAGATTAAATCATAATAATGTAATACTTGGATTGACAGTTACTAATAAAACTTGTTAATTGTGATTTTTTTTATATAATTATTGGTGATGCTAAAAAAATTATGTTTTATATTTCATATGACCTGGTATGGTTTTATTAAACAAAGTTAGGATATGATTGTGATTAAATATTTGCTTGAATTTTGGTTAATGATAATAAGATAGATTTATTCATTACAGCAGTAAGAAAATGTTTGGCCAAAACCAGTGGTCACCATATGCTAAAGAATATATTCCTCTTCAAGCTGGAAGTATAGATGGAACAGACACCGTACCCCATGATCATGGGATTGTTCGAGCTATGCAGGTAGTTTGAAACTTTTACTCAAACTAAGCTTGTTAGCATTATAACATTTGTTTAGTAAGATACTGATAGTGGAAGTGTGTTTTCAAGGCTAATAAAAAAGTAAAAGTTTAAACCTTTTTATTATCCATTAAAGTTCATGATGTAAAATATGTATCAGCATACCAAGGTCAAATTATTGAATGTAATAAATAATATTTTGATGTATTATTTTTTAAACTTAATTTTACAGAATTGAAAAAGGAATGTCATATTTATTGAATTGTTTATGGATTATTGATATTTCAAATGAAAAAGACATATACATAAAAATGACTTCTAGATTGTTAAAAGGGAGCTACATTTTTAATATTATATTTGAAGTTAATGCTTTCCTTGATACAACTCATGTTAACATGAAAGCATTATCTTGAGTTAGGGAGAAAATGTATGGCTCAGTAATATCAGTTGATAAACTCTAGTATGTTGAAGTATAGTACAATATTGTTGTTATGGTGTAACTTCATATTTATGATATTATTTTACGAACATTGTTTCAATTGATAATTATAAACAGCATATATCACCCTGGTATAAGGTACCATTGGAATAAAGTACTCGAACAAACTTTAAAATTACTTGTGATACAACAACTTTCTGATAAGGTACAGTACTTCCGCTCATATAAATAGCTATTCTCGTTCAGTGCTGTCACTTACATGCAAAAACATTTTTTGCATGCCACAAGCCTTGAGCTCACACATACCTTACAACCAAATGGTTCAACTGTGTCTTGCATGTAAATCTTTATGCAACAACCCTCCATCAGTAAAAGCGTTATACGCTCTCCTGACATATGACTTCTATTTGATTTTACCAAACTATCACTTCTCGTTAGGCAGTACTTATGTCAAGACGTTTTTTTTTTGTGCCCTCCAACTTCTTTTGTTCAATTTAGTGCATTTTTTTTATATCAATTCTGAAGTGGATTTCTTTTTTTTTTCAAAAGTTAACGAATTTTCTGAAAACTTATTTTCCCAGTTTTCAATTTTCTTTTTTTCTCATCAAACGGTTGTGTTTGATTATTCATTATTACGCAAAAAATTCTGAAGTACAGGTTACCACTTCGGAGGTCATACCTTCTACTAGCACACTTATACAGGTCGCAGGTAGGGTAACTCTTCAATGGGATTATCGGCTCTCATTCGCCATGAGTTTGATTGTTATATGAGTCAAACTGCTTCTCCTGATGTTGCTCCTATTCCTCCTGAGCATGTCAAACCTGTTCAAGTCGACAAGGATTTTGACAACCTTTTTCCTCCACCTGATTTTGCCGTGTTTTACTGTGCCCCTACTGCCTAATATGGATATTTTTAGACATGATTTCTCAGGTATGTTCTGTTTGATCCATTTTCCTGATTTCATATGATCTCCTTCATTCTTTTTTACATGATACCCCTTCCTCTCAGTATTTGGTTCCCCCCTCCCCTGGATATTAGGGTTCATGCAGATTGTTTTGTTTCTCAGATGGCTGATGATGATAGCATGCCTCGTCCTCCACGGCCTACCATCAGGCTGACTGTTTCTCGATTCTCAACAGTTGGAATCAATTTTGCTCGTGTGGGGGCCAACCCTGATCACCATGTTTGTTTTTCCCCCAGCAAATTTATCCACCTTTGTCTTATCTTATTGACTCTCATATGGTACTTATCTACCATCCATCTCCTTTCAGAGGCGATCCACCAAGATTCTGAGGGTTTTTTGAGGGATAGCCTTTCCCTGATTATCTCCATGTTGGAATATTTGATTCTTCATCTCTTTCCTTGCACATGTGGTTTCTCTGTTCTTGGGATCTCCTGGGGCAGGATGCTGTTTTGTCCCAAGTTCATTTACCACCAACTTATCTCCAGGGCTTGTGTATGATCCTTACTGGCTGGCACAACTGTGGCATCCACAGCTGCTCCAACTATAATCTGCCCCTCCTTTATCTCTTCCTCTTACTCCATCCCTTCTATGTCAACCTTGATCATCGGCATTTCATCTGGTCTTTCATATTCTCCATCTTCATGCCTGGTTTTTATCTGGTCCCTAGTGAAGAGATCTGGTTTGTTCCAGTGGGTAACTTCTTTTTTTAGCTTATTCCATTCACCCTTCCTCTAGGGATGTTTATCAACATAAGTGGAACGTTTTCTGCTGTTGGTCTTTGGGTCAAGGGATTTCCCCTGCTTGACCCACTGTTCCTCATCTTATGGATTTCCTCACATGGCTGTTTGATCAGGGGTCTTCTGTCTCCTTGATTGGGGGTTATCGAGCTGCCTTATCCCACACATTTTGTTTTTTCAGGTACCGTACAGTTTTTACCTCTCCTACCCTTTCCCTATTGTTATGTTCCTTCCAGATTTGTCATCCACTTTGGATTGGGATGTCAGTGTGGCTCTTCACTGCCTTACTTTGCTTCCGTTTGAACCTCTGCCCTCATGCTCGATTTTTCATTTATCTCTTAAGTCTTATTTTTTCTCGGTCAGATTTATTTGCCATCGATGTTTCACATACTCTATATCATTCCACATATATTCTCCTTTATTCGGTGTGATCTTTCCTTACGAAAACTTCGGCAGCTTGTGAGAGTAACTCATCCATCTCACCAATTTCCCCTTCCTTCCATTTCCACTTCTATCCTCAGTCAGATCTGAATAAGCTACTTTTTCCCATATGTGCTCTTTGTTGTTATGTTGCCCAAATGCTTCCTTTCAATGTGCCTGTTACCGCCTATTTATTCTGTGGCAGATATCCTCTGTTTATGACCTTTCTCTTTTCACCAATTGGGTTCAGCATGTAATTCGATTGGCTTATTCTTTCCTGCCTTCTTCTTCCCGCAATTTGTTCCACATGCCTTATCATCAGATCAGGTAACCCTGGCACCTCATTTCCACAGTCCCTTGGAGGAAATGTTTCAATCGGGCATGTGGACTACACCACATATGTTCATATCTCACTATCTGCATCGGGTCACTGTTTTTCTATTGTCAGGTTATTGTATTCTGCCTGTAGCTGTTATCAGACTTTGGTGAGACCATTACTGTGTTAGTTATATCTATTGTGTATATATATATATATATCTTCGTTTTCATAGACTTTTTCTTTTTCTTTCTGGATCCCACTATGTGGCAAGTGGTGCCCGACCAGATATGCTTCAAATAATCAAATCTGCACTGTCAGGCCATATTGACTGCATATTTATAATCTCCATAGCAATAAAATGCTCACTGTTGAGATGAAGTGTTCCAGAAGATCGCTTGGGATATATTTGCTTCATTATATGGCTTTTTCAGACCGGACTCATCCATGGACTTCATGGGTAAAGCAGAAGGAGATAGCTATCCATCTGTGCCATGCTTTTGATTGAATAAATCAGATATGGTCTGCTTTTCAAAATAGGGTTTTCCTGGTCACCCGTTGCACTGTCTCTGGTGTTGATATTCTTCCAGACTCTCCACTGCAATTCTCCCCCCTACCCCTCCTTTCTTTCAGTTGAGTATGGGAGTCCTTACCACTTTACAATTCAAAGCTGCTGGGGGGTGGATCATGGAGGTATCCTTCTGAATGTGATATTGATATGCAATGCAAATAATGTTCAAACTATTCAGTTGAGAGTAGGGTGGTGGTGTAGATGGCGAGATGTCCTTTAATCTGATGCTCCATCTCTGTATGGGTTTATCCAAGGAGATGTTGTAGCTTTTTAGTGAACCATCATAATTGCAGATCACCCCTTCAATTGGGATCCCTCATCCTACACTCACATGGATATAAGTTCCCAATGGCTGGGTTTTGGATTCAAAGCTAAACCAATCAACATAAATCCTCACACATGTATTATAGGTGTCTCTTTTCCTTACTCCATTATACTCTTGCTCCCTCCACTCGTGTTGTGGGTCACATTGGTTGAACTTACAAATTAATACAGTTCTTCCTCTTATGCTAACCCTCAATGATTTTCATATACTGAAGATGCTATTGTGCTGGGGTGGTTCCTGTTGAATGGTTTTGAGTGAGTTAACTTCCATTACAGAGACATCTTTATTGTGACAATCATCCAGATGTCAAGTTCGCGGATTGGCCAAACAATTTATCACATTGCTCTCGTGTGTCCTATTCCCAGATCAGGGGTTCAAGATTCTCTGAACTTGAGGTGAAGAGCTGGGTTTTGGATTGTACTTGACTTGTTGTTGGTATGATCTACCTTCACATGGATGTTGATACAGAAGTGGTGCAGTCTCCCATGTATGATTCTGTAATGAGAGGATGTACTCTTTTAGGGTGTTCTTTGGATGCTTTTGAAGAATGCTTCTTTGTATTTTTCTCGCACTGGTCACTCCACCTATTGTATGTGGGATTCTAGCTATTTATATGAGCGGAAGTAATGTACCATATCAAAAGTTAAAATTTTCCTATAGTGAAAATATATTTTCAATTAGTACTTACCTCCTCTCACACTTCCCGCCTTTCTTCCCCACTGATAGTTTGGTAGAATCGATTAGAGGTAGTCACATGCATCAAGAAATTGTGTCACATTCCTTGGTGGAGGGTTGTCGCATGGTTTTACATGTGAGAGGCAGTTGAACCATTGGATTGTAAGGTATGTGGGAGCTCAAGGCTTGTGACATACAAAAAAGTTTTGCATATAGAGGTCAGCACTGAACAAGAATAGCTATTTATGTGAGTGCAGGTAAGTACCTATCGGAAATATATTTTCAGTATAGGAAAATTATCTCTTCTGTTCTTTTTATATTTAAAACTAAGGTATTTAATTAAATCTTAAGGCTTTATTGTGCTGTTTATAGATATATATAAAATTGAAAACTGAACAATACTTGAAGTAACACACAAGAACGTGGTTTCACATGTATTTTAATCATTACATGTAGTTTTTTCCATAATATATTTTTAACCACAAATTCAGTAATGGTATAATTTAGGTTTCATAAAATGCTTATAATGTTTCCTTAACTTCAATTATATGGTTTGAATAAGTCTTGCAATTGTTTAAACCATACTATCATATTATAAATAGAAGACTAATGAAATGGGAACCTAGACCATATGTTTATTTAGATAATCATTTAATAGTACTTTTAAAGAAAGAATTTTGTACTGAGAAATGTGAACTACAGTTGTGAAAATATTAGTTATAAAAATATTTTAATACATTAAAATGATTGGATATTTTCTTTGTATTACCATAGGCAAGTTACAGCCCTAATGATCTTGTGATTGGAGATCCCAAATGTACACTCTTTGTTAGTAGATTAAACATAAATACTACAGAAGAAACATTGAAAAAAGTAAGTTTAATATAGTAATGGTTAAGAATAATACTAGTCAATGATGTCTAAGAATATCTGTTGTAAGAATTTGCTTGAATGATAAAGAAGTTAATGATGATTCTGGATCAGTGGTTTCCAGTCTGTGGGTTGTGACCTACCAATAGGTTGCTAGAGGGATTATAGTGGATCTAAAAACAAGATACAATGAAATATATATTTTATTTTAGAATTATATATAATGTAATGAACCTAATATGTTTTTGAACAAACAAAACAATTACGAGTACTATGAGACTTTACTGAAATATATCAGGAGAGTAACCCGACTCATCAATGAAAGTTTTATTAGTTTCACAGGACACTAGATCACAGAGTGTATGGATGGATAACATACTTTTCCTAGTGTTAGTATCATGTATTTTTCTAGCAGTAATTGTACTAATTATGCAATAGGGAAAATATCAAACTTCCTTGGATTAATACTTTGCTAAGTTATTAGTTAATTTAACTTCTGTATGTTAATATGTTATTTATCTCTTCCTAATACTTGTAGTAAGTTTTAGATTATACTCATTCTACTAATGGATATTAATATCCAAACATGCCTTCAGTACTAACTGAATATTTCTTACAAACTGGTTGAGACCATTGAAAAGTCAGAGAAATTCCTAATGATTTCAAACAATAAATAATCAATGGTTAGTGGATATTGATAATCAGTTCTCTTAGAATCATGGGTGATTAACCTATAGACAGTTGAGCCGAATAAATAAAGAACAAGAAGACCAGTAAATACAACATTAAAAACTTAGTACCAGATTACACTTTATCAAAAACTTACACTTTATTAGAAAATCTGACACCCTTAAATGATTTACATAAAATGTACACAACTATTTTCATCCTCAGGGCAACTTCATAAAACATACTTGTAGGATTTTGTAATTGAATACTTCACCTTATAATACTATTGTTCGGTTTATCTGTGAATGTTTATTCCAAAAATATAAATTGTATTCTACAACATTCAAATGATGGACTCACAACAAAGTGTTGAGCCTCCTTTTAAAAAAAAAGTAAATTATATAGGTTATTATAGTATGGAAAGCTAGGGCAATGAAATGTTTCAGGTCTACTTGTGAAACAAATGTAAACACTCTCTCATTTTTCACAAACAAAGTTTCTCCTGTCACATTTTAAAAACAAAATTAATTTAGTTTTTTGGGCAATTCAGTAATATTCTTGCTACTAATTATGTCTTTAGAAGTTATACAAAATATCACCACTTTTTACAAACTATCACTTATAACCTTCCTTTCAGGATAATGGTATATTGAACACACTATTGGTTTTATCTCCTATTAATTTAAGCCCTTATTTTGTATATTTAATACTAGCTATATAAAATTCCATATAGAATATGACAAAATGTAATCAGTTTAGTTGCATTAGTTTTCCTAAATTACTTTCTTGGCCATACTTACATTTGTTGTAACTTTCATTTCTAAGTCTTATTAGTAAACCTTATGGTTTATCGTGTTCACATTATGGCTTTTACAGAAGATTTAACATTATTTAATGCTTCTTGTTATGTACTACATTTTTTGTTAAAAGACAGAGGTTAAAGTGGGAGTAGTAGTGTTAGACACACCTCATATGTTTAACATATTGATATTAATTTCTTTGTATTACACTTAACATTGTTATAGTGTAATTATAGAACCAATATTCTAGCTATTTATTGTATGATTTAGATATTTATTTTCTTACCATATTCTTTTGGTAAGGTCTGGCAACTTGACTCCACACTGAAACAGTAATATATGTCATAGTAATTTGTTTCAGTTGGCACGCTCTTTAAAGTTGCACTTTAATGGGTTTTCATTGGTCATAAAACATCTTTAAAAAGGATTGTTTAGAGTTTTCCTTGTATTTGATTATATTGATGTTATGTTGTTTGATGAACATTAAATCTTTGACTGTACTTGAAGCCAATATCTATTGTTTATGTGCTCATTAAATAAGATGTACCCTGTTATTTGTTAATAGTTACTTTCAGTAAAGTATTGGTTAGAATGTTTAATATATCCAATTTTATTTTTTATTATTATGCTTTTATTATAGAGATTGTTTTACATTGTTAGCTTAATACATGTATTTAGTACTAACCTCAAACTAAGTTGATTCAACCTTGTGAGATATTATTAATATTACAGGTCATAATATCATTAACAGGGAAAGAACCAACTGATGAAACAATGCATTCTAATCTTTTTAAGTAATAATGTAAGGAAGGTGTATTTAATTAGCTATACTCATTACCAGATTGACTTTTATTTTATCTCTAAGTAGATAGCTTGCTCTGGTCAAAAGTTAATGTTAATAAACTATAGGCTATCAGAAATAAAAACTAATGGTAGAACTTTATCTTTATTACATTTCATTTGAAATTTAAGGTCTGTAGACTCAAAATACTCCAAAGTTATATGAAATCTGACATGTATAAACAAATCATTGAATGATAGTAAAACATTCATTTTATGGACTATTCTAGGAGTGTTGGTTAGTTCCTTGAATTTTCTATAGCACTAAGCCTAGTCTTGGCATAAAACATTTGTTAATAACTTGTATATAAACCATATGTCAGCTGAGTTTTGAGTAATTCAATCTGTTATTTTTGTATAAGTTCCACTAAACTTTATATTCTTTTTGTTAATGGTTATTAGAATTTATCATCCTCTTAGTAAACAAACGTTTATAGAGAAGATATTAATTTATATGTTAATCCTTATTTAGCAACATAACTTATATGAGTTGCATCCAGATTTTTTTCCACACAAAAAATCTGTTATATTTAGTAGATATCTTAGACTTTAGTTTGTTTAATTATGCTGTTAATAAGGCAAATCTTTTTAACATTATATATTTATTACAGTTTTTTGAGAAGTATGGGGAAATAAGAAGATGTCGGTTGGTGAAGGATATTGTGACAGGATTTTCCAGGCGGTATGGTTTCGTGGAATATAAAGATAGACACGTAGCCCTTCATGCTCAGCGAGAAACTTACAGGACTGTTCTTGAAGATAGTGAGATTTTTGTTGACTTTGAATGTGAACGCACTTTGATTGGCTGGGTTCCAAGAAGACTGGGTAATCATTACATTAACATATTGAAAATTCTATTAACCCTACACTTTATTCTATTCCAACTCAATCACAATAACAGAGAGAAAATAAAACTTATGCTCTGAAAATGTTAATCTGAAAAACAGCATTACACTCATGTACATTGATTTCTAGATTATCTGGCCATTTTTTGAATGGAAAAAATAAAACCTGATTCAATTAATTCGAATGGTGTAATTCTCTCTTGATATTATTTCCTTGCATCAAATATCATTTAATCATACAAAGTAATCTCTTAAGGCAAATGGTGCTTTATTTTCCTTACAAATCTTGGTTAAGTGGTGGTGCTTCGTGTCAATAGAAGCTGAGCAAATAATTTATGCTAGTTGGAAGTACTTGACTTATTATTTGTGGAGATACTACAAATATTCCTGTAAGACCTGAAAGTAAGACAGCTTCAACCTCACAGTTGTTTTTTAGAAGAAACTGTTTAATTCTCAAATTAAAAATTTTTGTTTATATACCATTCTCTACCTGTGGGGTCCATATATCTTGCATCATATTGAATAATTTTGTTTTTGCCTGTTAGATTACTCGGTGTAAAGAACTCCCCAGAAGTAATTGCAATATTCATGATATTTTTATGTTTAAAAATTGTGAATTGTATGGTATCAGAAACCTATTAATCAATATATTCATGAACCTACAAATAATTTGGTACATAAGTTGTTTGACCTGGCATGGCCAGGTGGTTAGAGCACTCGACTTGCAATCTAACGGTCATGGGTTTGAATCTCCATCCCACCAAACATGCTCGGCCTCTAAGTCGTAGGGGCATAATAATGTGACGGTCAATCCCACGATACGTTGGTAAAAGAGTAGCCCAAGAGTTGGTGATGGGTGGTGATGACTAGCTGCAGTCTTTCACTGCTAAATTAGGGATGGCAAATGCAGATAGCTTTGCACGAAATTCAAACAAACAAACATAAGTTGTTTATTGATATAGATATGTTTCAGAATGAATATAGACAAAATTTGTAATGAGATATTTATAGTCCTATTATTATTAACCCTACTTTAGAAAAAAAGTATCTTGAATTTATTTGGATCAAGTATTTAGACATAAAGTTCTAATACGATGACTCACCTCCATGCATTGATAAGATCTTTCCTCTTCAGGTTGTGCTAATTTGCCTTAGAGATTTACATGCCACCAGCCTTGTGAAACACCCTCTTACAATGCATGTGAAACACATGAATTTGTGCTACTGCGTGATGTTGTACTATGTAGCAAACCCTCCACCAATAGGAGTGTGATGCACCTCTTTGTGTAAATTCTCTCTCTATATTCATCTGCAAAAGTCCTTATTATTTTTCTTGACACAGTTGCTCTTACACATGTATATTTTTGCTGAGACTTGTTGAAATTTTTTTAACCTTTCAATAGGAATTCACAGATTAATGTGAGTTCTTTTTTCTGCTGATGTGAGTACAAATATCACTCACAGTTACCAACAATTTAGGAATTTCTTGCCTGTTGAGACTGTGACAGCCATCATGTATTGAAAAAGGTTGAAAATACAGTAAGAAGAAGAGAAACATAATGTTGTTTACTGTGTGGTGGGGTTCATGTTGCTGCCTGGACCCTCTTCTATTGTCTCTGCCACACATTTCTCTTCACAGATTTTGAAGCTAAAGTTAAGGAGGATGAAATGGAGTGACTTTCCACCCAGTACTTCTCTACCTACTAATATCTGTCAACTTTCCCATCTTGCATAAGCATTTTACCTGATACGCATTTGCTTCAGATTTCAACTCATTCCCACAGTTTCATGCCTCATCCTTCCTGCCTTACCAGGTAATAGGTAGAAGTTATTGTTTAGATATTGTTTGTTCTTCTTTAACACTTTACTCATAGGACATAATGTTTGGACATCTTTTTTTTTTACTCCTTAACATGTCTACATATGATATATCATTGAGATCTAGTTTGTTATCCCTTAATTTGTACTATTTAGACTATAATGTTTACTCATAGTTACTTACTCCTTAGCATATACTACTTAGTAGCTTATGTTTAGTCATAGTTCATCTTTTACATGTGCACTTAGATGGTGATGGCTAGTCATATTCACTTATTCCTTACTGTATAAACATAGACATTAATGTTTAGTTACAGTTAGTTGCTCTTTCACATGTAACACATAGTTGTTCATACTTCATTCTGGTTTATTACTCCTTAATATGTCCAAATAGAAGGTAATCTTTACATCTTGTTCATTACTTTTTCATATGTACACTCCGAAAGTTAATGCTTAGTCTTAACTGATTATACCTTGTCATTTATACATAATTGTTAATGTTTAGTTCTTGTTCATTACTTCTTCACTTGTTGTAACAAATTTGTTATTATATATTTGTTTTAATATCAACGTTTGTTTGGATTAAATTTATATTGTAAAACATGCGTAGCTTATACGCATGTTAAATATGTATTGTGAAACTCCCGCCTATTCTCCAAAGTTGTAGAAGATTCTCAAGAGTAAGAATCAACAATATATG